TATCGTCCTTATCTTTCCTCCTTCTTTTTGTGTTTGTTACTCTCTTGTAACACCTCTAATTGGTCTGCACTTATATGACGTTATTGTGTTGCAAGTGCTGTGAAACTCCTATGAAAACAGAAAGTAACTCCCTCGATATCTTCCCAGTAAAAATGTTTATGTTGCAGACCGCATGTAGATCTACCAACTGGGGTCATTCAGAAATATCTTATGCAATGTCTCACCATTAAGAACTTTTGTTGTTGTTGCAGTTTGAGAAAAAACTAGTCCGATTAACATGGCCACTGTGTCCGAACTGACCCCTCTGCAGCAGAGAAAAGTTGCTGCCATCGTTGGAGCTTGTGTTGCTGATGCAGCAGGTGGGTTGAAGAGCGTTGTGGGTGGTTGGCACATACTCTGATGTGGTGTGCTCCTTCTATCCTGTTGAATCAAACACCTACCTATAGTCCTTATCTCTCCTATTTCTTTCGTTTGTATGTTACTCTGTTGTACAACTTTAGCAACCTTTAATCTTTGGCACTTACATGACCTATTTGTGTTTTAAGTGCCATAAAAGCTCTGAGTAAAACTAAAACAGAGATGTCTTCTGGGTTACTTGGGCACTAAAGGGTCCACTTGAAATATTATTGCAATGGTGTAAAGCTCTCAAACCACGAAACTGGAAGATAGAGGTCAAATCGTTTTTTGTTCCAGAACCATTGCCGGTGTATATTGTTCTGCAGATTCATAATAAAAATCTTTCCTTACGACAAGGACTGAAATCCTTTAGTAGCTTCTTAGGCTCTGAATTGATACTTTAAAAAATTGATTTCCAGCAAGAACGTTTTGTTGGGGGGGGGGGGTCCCCAAAGATTTACTAGGGACTAGATACGGGGTTAGAGCATTTTGTATCTTCTTCTTCTTTTTTTTATCTTGAGTATATTTGTTATCTTGATATTTCAAGCTCAAATAGTACTTGGTTTTTTAAAATGAGACCCTAGTCTGGAGGATGTCTTTTGATAGATGTGGTTGTATGCCACATCTACTCATTTCTAGGTCAATTCAAGTGTGTTCTGCATTTTTTCTGTGATGGCACTATTCAGTAATCACAATGAAAATGTTGATCTCGATAATGATGATGTAGAGAATGAAAAGGAGGATAATGATAAATGTGTCACAACAGGTTTTATCAGGTGCTCGTCAATTTCTGGACATATGGAGTTACTAGCATTAGTTTCAATTCAAAGCTTGTTCATTCGTCTTGCTTTTGATGTAGAAACACTCATCTATCTTGAATAAATGTAAGTCAAGATATCTAGTGTTCAAGGAGATGGAGGTCGCCTGGTGCAAGAGGTAAAATTAACAAGAATAATATGGCTGCCAAAGTTTGGTGACTTCCAAAGCTTGTGTCTTCTTGGAATCTGTAAATTTGTATTTTTTATTCCTTTGATCAATGTTTTCTTCCTTAAAATCCATAATATAATATATGAATGTGTCTTTAAATGGACTTTAAAGGTTTTTAGCCCCCTGTATTTATAAAAATTGCCAAATGGGTGGCAAAATGTCAATTTCTTAAAAATCATTATTTTGATGAGCACCTGATTTCTCCAAGATGCCACACAAATGACAGTAGGATAATTAGAATGTGATGATGAAAGATATAGATTTAACATATTTTCACTGGTGGAATCCATACTGCACTTCATAACTAAACATACATGAAGCAGAGATGACAATGCTATTACCAGTTTGATTTAAAATTTGGCCCTCTCAATCTTGCCTAGTATTTCAATCATGACCTGAAGTTGATTACATTACCATGCCATGACCTGATTATGGAGTGGTAAAAAGTCGAGGAAAAAAGTCATGCTCTCACAGAAACCATAAGCATAAAATTATTGTCTCTCTATTACTTGTTTTAGGTGTAGACTCGACCATTGTGATTGTTAGTTTATGTAATCAGTGCTTGTGACTGATTATGAATGTGAGCCAAAACAGAAAGGGAGAGGGTATTTAGATGACAGTGCAACATTATTGAATGTTTTGATCACAGCTCATTGGTTATTTTATGGTTGTCTATTTTAAATCTATACTAGGCCTAAGGTATACATCTATGGGTGGACTTGGCTGGGATGAAGTTCCCAAATTATGGAACAGATGTATACATATTTCTCTCTTTTTTTTCTATGTCTCTTTTTCTCTGTCTGTCTGTCTGTCTGTCTGTCTGTCCGTCCGTCCGTCTTTCTGTCTGTCTGTCTGTCTGTCTGCCTGTCTGTCTGTCTGTCTGTCCGTCCGTCCGTCTTTCTGTCTGTCTGTCTGTCTGTCTGTCTGTCTGCCTGTCTGTCTGTCTGTCTGTCTGTCTGTCTGTCTGTCTGTCTGTCTGTCTGTCTGTTTCACTGTTCTATTTCCCTTTCTTTTCCTCAGACTAAGGGAAGCAGTGATTTTTGTTTATAATGTAGACTCTTCTCCCCTGCTCACACAATCTTTGTTTCCACAGCCCAACCTCTTCATTGGATTTACAAAGATGATGTGATGGCTGGTCTCATTGAAGGCAAAGAGGAGATTGAGTTCCGAGACCCCTCAGCCAATCCGTTCTATAGGCTTCCAAATGGTCGCAACACTACTTATTTTGAACAAACTTATGTCCTGCTCAAATCTCTTGTTGAATCCAAAGGTGAGGATATTTTTCACGAGTTAGTCTTATTTTGTTTGTTTTGTTTGGGATTTTAAAAAAAAACCATTTTCCTCTTAAGGGGGGATTTTTTGGTTTTTAAATAAATAATATTAAAAAATTGGGGGGGGGGGGGATGGGGGAGTTATTTGTGGGAGGGGCTTCTTTGCTTCATCTTTGGTAGCTATGATAATGAACCTTACAATGTTAGATGTTTATCAAATCCTTGTTTTTAAGGATAGAGTAACTATACAACATAATTGTCTCAACAAATTCTTTTCAGCGAGCCGATTAGGCTTGTCTCTCATGTTCCACTAGATCTCTGCTCTGGCCCCTGTTTTGTTGAGCCACATGCATGCTCAGAGGTGTTTAAACACCCTATCATATTATGCTTATGTTGCACATGTTGAAGCACACTTAGAGCTGTTTCTTTTCAAAGGCATATAAGGCTGCTCTGGTCAATGTGGCACTGACGGAAAATATTAAAGTTGATATGGCCAATATTTGTATGGCCCTCATAGGAATGAGAAATTTATAAATTTATCGTGTGTTTTCGCCGGTTTGTTATTTTAAAAATGCAACAATGTCACTTTTAAGAATGTGTACACTGTACAAATGTTTGTATTAACTGTGAGAGTGGATTTTTTGCAATGATTCAAGAGCCTGACTTTCATTTCTGTCATTTTCACCATGCATTGACTCGGACTCGTAACATGAACTTATGTACTGAAGTATACATTTTTTTTGGCTTTGATCAGTAGATTTTAACAATTAAACCTAGGTGATATTGAAAGGGCGCCTACACTCTCTTTGATCATTGTGAAATGTATCTTTTTTCTGTTCCTCAGGGTTGAACACTGATCAACTGAAAAAAGCAACATACGAGTTTTTCGGACCAAATTCTGAATATGAAAGTAAGGATTTCTGTTCTTTTCAAAGTTTTGTTTTGATTTTTTTTTTAAATGGAAAACCACATAGCTGTTGTTTTTGTTTTTTCTCTTATCAATGATTGGAGATCACGTGTCCTGAATTTGAGTTTATTTTTACTTTTTTTTTTTTTCTAAAGAACCTGATCATCCTTTGTCATATCTTTTGACTACTGGTATAGTAAAGATTGTGAACATGCATTTAGTATTGCAAATTATTTGTCCTAAAAGGTGTAAATTTAGTTTAAAAATAAAAATGCTTTTTTTGCAATGAGAGACAAAATCTTTGTATTATATATTCAGTTTGTTTCTGTCCCTTTCTTTAACCACTGAATGATCTGTGATGTAAAGTGTTTTTACGGGCAGTCGGCGGGTGCTCTTGTGTGCTTTGCTTCTTCTAATTCCTGTCAAACATCTGTCGTCCTTATCTTCCCTCCTTCTTTTTTTATGTTTGTTACTCTCTTATAACTCCTCTAATCTTCAGGACTTATACTATGACTTATGACCTTATTGTGTTGGAAGTGCTGTAAAACTCTTACTAAATCTAAACTAAACAAGTGTTAATATTTTCTTTCTTTTTACTGCCACAGTTCCAAGAACAACCATGCCTATTGAGGGCCCCTGGCGGCATGGTGGCATCAGAGATTTTATAGCTAATGTGGATGCTAAGAAAGAGCGCACAGGTATTTATCTGATATGTCTATGGTAAAATATCTCTCAACAGCTAGCTAGTAACTTCCATAAAATTTCTGGCAACTTGATATGCCACTTGAAAAAAAAAAAGATATATATATGGATTCTGAGGTTGTTATGTGATTAGACAAAACACAGTGTTTATTCATTCCTCTTTACAGAATTTTCTGTGCTTGTGATAAGAACCATTGCTTATTCAACTGAGCATTGAACATTGTTGTTCATAATCTGATTGTATGGAGAAGATATCATAATTATCTTTTTCCAGTAGCGTCGGTAGTCTAATAGTTAGGTTACCGGACTCGCAATCATGTGATTGTGGGTTTGGGGGTCCGAGCCTCAGGTTGGTCTGATGTTTTGTCCTTGGAAAAGGCACTTTACACGAACTTAATCCCATCTGACTCGGTCCTTTCAGAGGTGGACGTTAAGCTCGGAGGTCCCACGTGTACCTCTTAAATAACCTAATAGTGTTGACAGGGGCGTTAAAGCTACTCATGTATATCTTTTCCCTTTCCATACTAGGGTCAGAGACAGATGAACAGATTGACAGCGTTGTCAGAGTTATCCCTCTTGTTGCCCTGTATGCTGGACAGCCAGACTTCCTGAAAAAAGCTGAAGAGGGCTTGCGGGTTCTACAGGAATCAAACCTGACCATATCCTGTGGCCTAGCAGCAGCGAGGTTGGTTTCTCTCAGTGTTGCCAGAGCCCATTTCTTGATACTGTTGTTTGAAAGAATTGTATTAGTGTTTGTGTGTGTGTGTGTGTGTTTAAGTGTGTGTATGTATGTGTGTGTATACGTGTGTGTGTATACATATGTGAGTGTGTGTGCGTGTGCATGTGTGCTGTGGTCAAACAGCAGCAAGACAGCAAGTTTAATTTGTCTTAGCATTGTCATGGTGTAGGCCTATTTAATTTATTGATACTGTTACTTGAAAGATTTGTGTGCGGGGTTGTTGTTTTTTTTGGTGTATGTGTGCGTTTGTGGGTATTTTTTGTGAATGTATGTGTATGTTTGTGTGTGTGTGTGTGTGTGTGTGTGTGTGTGTGTGTGTGTGTGTGTGTGTATGTTTGTGTGTGTGTGTGTGTGTGTGTGAGGTCTGTGAATTAGCAGCAGCAAGGTTGGTTTATCTCAATATTGTCTTTGTCTATTTCTTGATACTGTTTCGTGAAAAATTTGTGTGTGTTATAGTAAGTTATACATACTCCACTTTTTTCAGAGCTTTAGAACAGATAATTCTGACTGGAAAGTCTGACAACATCGTCCAGAACACGATATATGCTCTCAACAATGCAGGTCGCAGCAATCCTGTGGAAAAAGACAGAACAGTTGCGGGTCTTCTCCAAGATGTCTTGAAAGCCAGCAGTACCTCGCATGTGGAGGCTGTCCCTACCTTTAAGAAGAGCTGCCGTAAGATTTTCAGTTTTCTTTTACTTCGGTCTTGTATGCTTCCTGCTGTCTGTGATTCACTGCCATGGTGCCATTATTGAAGATGAGTGGGTAGTTAGAGGGTACCACTTGTACGTTCTACTTCTTTACTTTTCCTCTGTTGTTTTTGTCTGTCTGTCTGTCTTACTTTTTCTCCGCACCAAGTGACCATTATTGTGTTGATGTGCTTCTCTTTATTCAAACTCGAACTGCCCCTGACTCTCTTATCTTTTCTGCACTTATAAATATGATATATATGTCTCACAAGTTTTGTAAAACTTAGATTTCTACTAAAACTAAACCGATATATATTGCTTGTTTTTTCGATCAAAAGCACAACAAATTTTTCATTGTATCTGAGGTTGTTGCTTTGCAATTGAGTTTCCCATTACTTGCTTCCGCTTTCATCATCATCAAGAATATGCCATCCAAGAATTATGTAGATTTTATCCCTTATATTTTTATTTTTATTTGTCTTTTGTTCTTAGAATTACCCGGGTCTCTTCAGTCTGCAATGCATGGTGTGTTGACAGTCCCAGGCTATGTAGACAGTGTACGAACTACCATAAGGGCAGGGGGCTGCAACGCCTCTAGATCTGGCTTCATCGGGGCTTGTCGGGCAGCTCAGGTGAGTCTTTAGATTACCTGTTGTTTGATTTTGTATCTAGCTTAAAGCTTAAATAGTATTATTGTTTGCAATGAGTTTTTTCTTTATGTCATATGCCTGTGATTGTTTGTGAGTGCAAGCATACATTATGTAAGTATGTGTTTAATGTGTATAGATGTGTGTTGAGAGGAGGATGTGTGAGAGAGTATGTCTGTGTGGGGGTGTATGTTTGTGTGAGTGTGCATGTGTATGCACGCGAGTGTGTGTGTGTGTGTATATGTGTGTGCGTGGGTGTGTGAGTGTGTATATGCATGTGTGCGTATGTGTATGTGGTGAAACACCAAACCACTGATATTTTGGTTATTGAAAAATATTATAATGTTAGTGTCTCACCCAGGAGGGCTGTATGTCAGACCTGAAGTGGTTTGAATTTCAACCCGCAATCTCTTTATTTGAGAAGCTTCACACCAGTACAGTCCCATGACTATGTTTATCACCTGTGTCTGTCATTTAGATGAACAAAACTTAACTTTCTCATCTCTTTGATTTCACTCCCCATTTGTTTTCCGAGTTGATATCTCTTTTCTTTTTCTCCTGCAGGAGGGATTTGATGCCATCCCAGAGAGCTGGAGACAACGAACAAAACGCTATGAAGAGGTCTTAGCTCTCGCTTTGGCTTTGGTGAAATTACAAGAGTAATTATGAATAAAAACTGATGGAAATGTCAGAATGCAGAAGTTGTTTCAAAGAAGGTTTTGCACTCATATGACATCTGCAGTTGTGAGCATCATAATAATTTAACCTCTCAGAAAGAACATTTGGACATTTTTGGACATCTCTTTCTTAAATTCTATTCACAAAGTGTTCAGCAGTCATTGATGTGTAGAGAGGCCTTGCATGAGGACTGACTGTAGTACAAGTATAGTTGGGGGTTTTTTTTTATTTGTTGTCAATCGTGGAAGCTCTGAAGTCCCTTGCTAGAAACTTAATCGATCTAGATGTTTTGTTGCTTAGTCTTTCACTTTCAATGATGCGTCATATCTTCCATTGCTTCTTGGATTTTTGTACCCATTTTATTTTTATTATTTCAATAGAAAGCTTTTCAGTTGTTGAAAGTCTGATCTTTGTTGTTAGAAAAGATGCGTCCATCTCAGATTCTTTGGAACACGCATTGTTGTTGTCTGATTTATGTGTGTTGTCAAGCCCTTGTATATATATTTATACAGAAGTTTGAAAGAAGAATTTTTAAAGTTTGTATATGATTCTTTCAACCATAAATTTGGTTAAATATAACAAACTCATGACTAGTCCCTGGAAAAATTAACAACAATGTACCTTAGCCCCTCTGCATAAAGAAACATGCTTTAGTATTAGTATTTGTCTGTGATGTTGTGGATTATGATTATCTAGTTTGAAAGCCTTGTGTAATTTAGCTAGATAACACGACAGACTCTTTAATACCTTGGAAGTGTTATAACAGGACTAAAACAGAAAGCAGGACCACTGATGTATGTGGACATTTTCATATCTCAATCTCATCAATTTTCAAACTTGAACTGCCTTGTCTTCTCAGAGAATATTTAGGTTGAAGCAGGTGTTCTAATGTGTACTAGTCAAATATCTCCCTTTAAGTTTATTCTTGTTGAATTGACCAAACATTACATGTACCAATTAGCAGAGAGATACAATGTACAAGGTTACTGGCTATGAAACTGATTTTTCCTCTCCACTTGCAATTCATGCTGTTTATGAAATGTCGATTTTATGTGAATAAAAAATAAATCAGAAACATTAATAATGCTTTTTATTTTTAAACATGTATATTTGTTGGTGCTGTACCCAGTTGAATGTGTGTGTGTGTGTTTGTGTGTGTGTGTGTGTGTGTGTGTGTGTGTGTGTGTGTGTGTGTGTGTGTGTGTGTTGTGTGTGTCCTGGGGAGAAGGAATGTGCTCCATTTTCTTTTGCTGCAATTGGTTGGAGAGAGGAACTGACAGCAGGTCCTACTGTCAAATTATGCCTTTCTGCCCTTCTTTCCTGTCTGTTTTATTAGGTAATCACAGCACAGTCAAAATTTGTTCAATGCAAGATTTATTCTCTTTAAAAAGCATTTTAAAAAATCATCATATGCACTATAAAAAATATTGTGACCACAGCCGTGGTAGTATTTGTCTATGCAACTGACAAATCTTTTGTACATTCTTTGGCTGTGAGTCCTCTTCTAAGAACTTTCATCAAAATTTGAAACTACATGTAGCTCTCTCACTGGACGTCTGGGTGGTTGGCAGGTGCTCTGATGTGGTTCGCTTCTTCTTTTCTGTCAAAGAATTAAGAACTGTTGTTTTTACCTCTCCTCCTTCTACTTCTTTTTTATGTTTGATACTCTCTCATTACACCTCTAATCTGCGGCCCTTATAAACTTATATGACCTAATTGTGGTAGGCTACTAGTGTCGTTTGTTTTGTTTTTTAATATCCTGATTCAAAATGAAATATTCAAGTTAATGATTGCAGGGCTAGAAGATGTATGTGTGTAGTGCATTAATGTGCGTTCATTATGCTGGCCAAGCAAGCAAAAAGAACTTTGGACTAATTCACTCTTACACGTCTCCTTCCCCTATTTTCCTTTTTTTTTTCTTAATTAAACTTAAGGGGGTAGATGGTGAGATCATTTTTGATCACCAAATCACAACCAAAATAACTGAACTCGTCAAGTCTCTCTCATTTGTATTATGCGTGTGACAGAGAGCCTGTTTGTGAGTGCAAACATACTATGGTTATGTTCACAGATGTGTGTGGAAGAGAGGGAAGAGTGTGGTGTATACATGGGTATGAACATGTGCGTACGTATGGGTGTGTATATGATGCATGTTTGTGTGTGTGTGTGTGTGTGTTTGTGTGTGTGTGTGTGTGTATGTGTGTGTTTACGAATGTGTGTGTGAATATGAACGTGGCGAAACACCAAACCAATGTGCCAGGATCTAGACAATAAAGTTGTGTCTTATCTTATTTTTTCTTGCCCTTTCAACGAACTCTCTGCGTCTGAATGCTTGTACTAAAGCCGCCAGAAATCGAACAGAATCGAATCGAGCCAAACCAAACAGATCCTGCCAATTGGCACCGCTTGCTCAAGACTGACGGAGACGTAGAACCAGAGAGTTTACAGTAATACTATGAAACTCTCTTGTGGAATCGATAGGGTAAAATGGTGAAATTATATATATATATATATATATATATATATATATATATATATTAATATATAGGTTTGACACCCCTGTCAACACTGCTGGGCTATCCAAGTTTTTTTTTGCATTTTCCCCCCTTTTTGTGTTTTACGGCGCTCGCAACTGCAATAAGGTGATATGACCGAGATGGAACATTATTTTAACATTTTCAGTTGGTAGGAAATTTTGAATTTTCCCCGGGTGGCGGCCGAAGCCTATTCTTATTGATTTTGAACCACCAAGGGATCTTTAACGTGTCAACTTGCACACACGACCTCCGAGATTTTTTGCCCTTATCCATAAGATCAGGGGTGTGGCTGAAAGACAGCAGTAAGAAGGAGCAAAGAAGTAGCAGTAGAAAGGCTGCAGAAAGAGGCAGGAGCCCAGAGGAGGGGGCAAAGGAGGTGAGGGGTGGGTGCAGAAATTAGAGACGAAAGGAGACAACAGAACATTATGGGAGAGCAAGAAAGGATGTGAAAGAAGTAAATTTTAAAGAAGAAACTTTTCCGTCGCCATCCAGATTCGAACTCGGGACCTATTGAATGAGAGGCGAACACCTAAGCTTCTAGACTCGCAGTCTCACAATTACGAGACCGGTAGTCTGGCCACTAGGCTACCAGCGCCACCCTGACAGGGATGATGCATATTGTTTTCAATAACGTTTGAGCTAGTTATCAGCTTACAATGTGATTGGGGGGAGGGGGGGGGGGAGATTTTTAAAAATTACTGTTAATATTTTTTTAAAATATTGTTTTTGTTTTGGCTTCGGCTACTTATTTTGCAAGTTGATTTAATGTTTGTTGGGTTGCAGAAAAAAATAAAGCTCGGAGGTGATGCTTTTAAAAAAAATGTTCTTTAACCATTGTGCAAATGCATAATAAAGAGGTTGGAAAACTGATCTGCACTATAACATATTATCATTTTTTAAATTTTTATTTAAGGGACGAGGGGCGGTAGGGGGTACTTTGGGTGGATATTGATAATTCCTAGAACAGTACCAAAGAATGCGGGGCATTTTGTATAACAACATATTATTAGACAGTGGAATGAGCGGAGTCATCGTGACAGGAGTGCTCTATTTTTCCCCAATGATTACACATTACACTTCCCTCTGTCTTAATTCAGTTTGTAGTCCTTACTTTTACTGTTTCCTTTTTCCTTCCTTTGGTACCCTTATGATATATATATATATATATATATATATATATATATATATATATATATATATATATATATATATATATATATATATATATATATATATATAATGTTCCAAGACCTTTTTAATCCGGTCCAGCCAGATGTTTCTTGGTCTTTATCTTGATTTGAAACCGGATTCTCGGGTGTTGTAAGCCCTAGGCCTTAAGTGGCTAAAGCCGCTAAACGTTATTTCTGCGGCATTCTGGGTTATTGTCCGTGGCCTATACCCTGGTGCAGGGTGAAAAAGGCAACAATTATAATGATTGTGGGTTATTGAGCAAAAATGCCTTCAAAACAGTTCAAAGACGGCCACCCACTGTCGAAGAGAAAAGTGGTTGTCTTAGACAGGTGGATGTGTTGGGCAATTATGTAATTATATAGATCTATAAATAAAACGCAAAGGAGGGAAAGTGAGAAGCGGTCGTTTGTACAAACGGGTGATTGCATTTGACAGGTGGCCGTTTGAGTCAAATTCGACTGTATAATCCTGGTTCGCCAAAACTACCAAAAGAGGTTTCACATCTTTTCCCTCCTCTTTTTTCTCCCTTTCCGGACAAAGTTTGTTCAGGAGTCGTTAGTGAGCATACTTTTATTGTCAACTGCAAAGTCCTTGCCAGAAAATGACGTACAAAGTGTGCAACGTGACTTTCGGTTCCATGTGTGTTATAGGTCTATGTCTGTTTTCCTGCCCCTCTGAAATATTTGTTGATACTTCTTCCTTAATCTCTCAAGACGAGACAGACAGAGAAATTGAGAAGTAAAAGCAGCTATTGGCTCCGAGTCTGGCTTGCATTTCATAGAAAAACAGAATAAATTATTGGTTTGGCCACCTGTTACTCATGTCACCTAACCAGTCAGCCCCGAAAGCCTGCAACACCAAGTACTATAAAGGAAGAGGAAGGACACACAAAGCCAAAAGGTGGAATAAGAGAGCCAAGTGCTATAAAGAAAGAGGAAGGACTCACAAAATCAAAAGGTGGAATAAGAGAGTCAAGGGAACCCTTACAAATGATAATATCCCAACCGAAAGAGCTGCGGAGCTGGCCTGCCATAGAAAACTGCATCACCCCTACAGAGGATGAAATACATAGAGTAGAAGTAAGTAATTACTTCCTCTTCCCCTCTAGACATATTGACATTACAAATGGACATACTTCTGAATGTGTCCACCCCCCCCCCCCCCCCGTTAAACAATTGAACAACAACAACAGCAGCAGCAGCAGCAGCATAATAGTAATAGTAACAGCAGCAACAACAATAATAGCAACAGCAACAACATCAATTATGACAACAATTAAGATTTCTAACTCAACTAAACAACAGCAATAAGATAAGAAGAAAAACATCGACTAGCGCAAGGGGGCTCATATTATGTATATCCAGGCTCATGATCTAAATTATATCTAATCAGTTTTTCACCTTCTTTAGTAGCATCTGTATTATGGTTAGACAGCATTAAAAAAGCATCAACTCGAAGATTGATTTGAATATTAAAGAGATACACATCGACGCAAAAGTGACCATTCAGTCGAAGGGGAAAGTAAGACAGGCCACATGCAAAAGCAACAGAATGGAAGAAAAGAAGTAGGCCTTGGATCTACTATGAGCGGCACCCCGACCAACTCACCTACTTCTACCTCTGAAATTGTTTTCTTCATAGTAAGTTCACCTGAAGAGAAGTGCACTGCGTCCGTTCAAAATGACGGCAAGATTGCCGCTGCTACATTTTCGATGACGAACGTTACAGTAAACGTCACAGTTTACAACGTTCTTAGAAAATAATATAAAAGATAGTAGCCTACATTCAAGTTCAATATATATATA